CTGTGTGCTTAGTGAGAGTTTTTAACGTTCTCGATATCGTAAAAGTTAACACAAATTTGAAGGAAGTTGGAACGTTTGCCGTTAGGTGCGCTGGTCCAGCTGCACTCAAATTTGAATTAACTTTTAGGCTATCGAAAACGTTAAAAAACTCAAACTAAGCACACACAGAGAGAGAGGGATGAAGACATAAAGTCGATATCGCAATAACATTATGTAAGACTGTCCCATTAATTAAAATAGATTACTCCTAATCGCGGTAGGAACAGACTGAACAGTAGAACCTGCACACGTTGAGAGCCAAAATGGACATATTAAATTTATTCAGTCTAAGTACCGAATCACGTCATAATCGCGCACCGCATATGATATGTTTGTGGGATGTCTAAAAACCTTTAATTAGTACGAGTATTTATAAAAACAAATCGTATAGAGCAGCCGTAGGATAGAAATACTTGTTATTTACATTGTGTTGAATGAAAATATGTTTTCTATTGCGGATCTAGGGAGGATTTCGTTTTCGTGGACTACCCGGTCACCGTCCTCCCCAAACCGTCGCTTGCGACGAAGGTCTCCAAACTATAGGCACAGCCCACTGAGTTTCTCGCCAGATCTTCTCAGTGGGTCGGGTTTCCGATCCGGTGGTAGATTCTGCGAAGCAGTGAGCTCACCTACTCGCCCGGGTACGCTGACATAGCTCTCAAGGCTATCAGCTTAGGTAGTAAAAAAAAGTAATCTAGAATTAAATTAAAATTTAAACAGAAGGAAAACCACTGTTAATTGTAAATAAAATTCAATGTATTTACGAAGACAAAAACAGTGCAGGATTCCAAGCGGATCCTGGACTGAGTATGTATGGTATGAGTCGGATTCCGTTGACCAAAAGCGGTGTAGTCACAACTCCGGAGCCTTTAGAATTTCAATTTCAGGTTTATGTTCACTTCTTTGAATACGTATGAGTCGTAAGACTTCGTTGTTTACGTTTTGAGAGCGAAGCTGTTTAAAGCGTCGCAAATAATACTAACTTTTTGAAATGATCAAAAAGGTTAAGTCAAAAAGAATAAGTCAATTTTTAAATAGATTTTTTGATGACGTTTCACTGAGTGACGACGAATTCATAATTTTACACTATCAGGCAAATCGGAATGTTCTAATACAAAAAATCACTAGTATTTTTTTAAAATTGGAAATAAATAAAAAATGTGGTATACGTAAAATCGAAAATTGACTAAACCTTTCTTTTTTGTATTCTAGAAAAATACTCGGAAACATAAATAAAATGCAATTTACTACAGCGACATCAGCGAAAGACAAGGACATACAGTAGTTCTGGGGATTCCTGCAACAATAACAGATATCACTGACAATGACTGACAAGAAAAATCATAGCCTAAAGAAATTAATGTAATCAACATTAAAAAAGGAACAATACCTATTACATTCAATGAAGTTAAAATTTTCTTTGATGAGAAAATCAAATAAGCACGCCTACCGTATTTACGACTGGTTTTATATTAAAATGTAACAAATATTACGTACGGCACGCTTTTGTTACAGTAATTACCAGCCGATGGGCATCTAATATAAATTTATGGTACCATCAAAAAGTTTTGCAACACGTACGATGTTTAACGAGTAAATAATACGGGTAAACGCGGAAGTTATTAAATTATATTATGTTTATTTTTTTAGATAACAATTAAACTTTATTGATTCATTAAAACGGTTCATTGAACTCGGCCATGTAGCGGCGATGAAACCGATTGAAAATCAATTTTACTCATTTCTTAAACATATCTGGGTCGGATCGCGTTGGAAATACTTGGACTTGCCATAAATATTGTTACATTTATTACTGCAGTGTGCGTCAGTTTACGTAATAGTGAAATATAATTTAAAGAATATGTAGTTCAATGAAAATTATCTTTTTTTTTTATTGCCTCGATAGGTGGACGAGCTCAGGGCCCACCTTGTGTTAACTGGTTACTGGAGCCCATAGACATCTATAACGTAAATGGCGCCACCCACCTTGAGATATGAGTTCTAAGGTCTCAGCTTACAACGGCTGCCCGCCCTTCAAGCCGAAACGCATTACCGCTTCACGGCAGAAATAGGTAGGGAGGTGGTACCTACCCGTGCGCACTCACAAGAGGACCTACCACTAGTTATCCTCAATTTACTTATATTAACATCGTGGCTAGCTATCGAAATAGTCATACACTTTCTCCGTGGGAAAATTCTCCAGTAAGTATTTTTCTTTACAGGCTTTTTAAAAGACCCCATGAAGCATAATCCAATGGATTAAGATCAGGACTGGATGTCGACCTTTTTTCAGAACTGAAGAAGTCAAACATATCATGGCCCAAACACGCTTTTATGTATCGAGCTTTGTGGCTCGGTGCTCAGTGTTGATGAAAGGACTATTTTGATTATAGAACATATTAGTGTTGTTTAGAGACTAGAATTTTCAACCTTCCCATGATTCGTATTTTTTTACTAGGCCTTAAGTGCTTATGGCCAGACCTTTCTCAGTAACAGAGTTTCATTATACCTATAATATCCCAAAACACACAACACAGAACAGACTAACTAAATAGACGGAGAGCTTAAAAAATAAGCACTTAGCTCGAAGCCTAGTTTGTTTAATAATGTCGCATTGCTTTAAATCACTTTAACGCCCCGCTCCATTTAAATTTCACTAGAATAGTTTATCAAAAATTGCTGCGACCACGAGGACACAAGGGACTTTATATGGATCAATAGATACTGAACGCATTGTTCATATTGTTGTTTTGTTAATATCATAATCGTATTTGTAGTCAGATTGTAATCATGTGTATATGTGGATGATACACGTGTACGTATTCATTAAGTTTGAGCCCCGTGAGCTCACCTACTAATTCGGCGAATCTAGAATAAACCCTCGAGACTATTATAATAGGTAGGTACAAAAAAAAGTGCCTATGATGGGTATACCACACTTTAAACCTAAATGATGGTGCCCTACCGCTCTAAAACATTAACATTCATCTGAATATATAAGTATAAAAGCTGTCAATTCGTTAACACTAAAAACATATTCCCAAACGTTAATAACTCGTGAATTCCTTCACGGCACTACTCTGGATTAATAATCTATAAAGGACACTTTGAGAAACACTGGCTTGTAACTTGATTTTAATTAATTCTAGTGTCAACGGACAAAATAATAAATTCCTCTCGCTTTTCCTCGTCTATTACTGTGTTATTATGAGAAAGTACTGAAATTAACTTTCTTGTCCTGTGCAGATAATAAATGTTAGAAATATCTCAAAGTCAACGGTTCTCTTTAAGCGTCTATTAAGTATTTATTTGATATAAATTGCGATATCTATGTAGATTATTATCCGCTCTAATGTTCAATGCGTATAGAGTGTACTATGAGCTCGCAAAAGTAAGTCCCAATATTTACCTTATTCTGCTACAGCTAAGCTATAATTTACACCTCTCACACCTCTGACTCTAAGAAGGGGTTTCGGTTCTCTGTCTTTTGTACCGCATGCTCCAGGGGGAATTGATTGGGGATGAGGAATTGCTCGAAATGATTCCTCAGTTTTTTTACTAATACACCTCTCGTCCCTTCCGCAACGTAGAAGAGCTCATCCATAATGCGTTTCCAGAGGTCTTACCACCATCAGACTCGCAATGCACTCCCCTTCACGGTGGTTCCCGAACGCTATGACAGTCATAGTATGAAGTCGTCGTGGCCTAAAGGATAAGACGTCCGGTGCATTCGTATCTAGCGATGCAACGGTCTTCGAATCCCGCAGGCGGGTACAAATTTTTCTAATGAAATACGTACTGGACAAATGCTCACGATTGACTTCCACGGGGAAGGAATAACATGGTGTAGTAAAAATGAAACCCGCAAAATTATAATTTGCGTCATTAGTGGTGGTAGGACCTCTTGTGAGTCCGCGCGGGTAGGTACCACCGCCCTGCCTATTTCTGCCGTGTAGCAGTAATGCAGTAGCAGTTTCGGTTTGAAGGGCGGGGCAGCCGTTGTAATTATACTTGAGACCTTAGAACTCATATCTCAAGGTGGGTGGCGCATTTACGTCGTAGATGTCTATGGGCTCCAGTAACCACTTAACACCAGGTGGGCTGTGAGCTCGTCCACCCATCTAGCAATATAAAAAAAATAGTTCGAACTAACGATAGCATAAGTATATACATATGAGTGTAGGTATCATAAGTACCATAAGTTTTTATGTATCATACCGTAAGTTTAAGGTTAGCATAGATATATAAGTACCATAGATTTATTCACCAAAAATGACGATTAAAATGAAAGCATCAACAAACAGTATTATTTAATCGAATTGCCAAATGTGATTGTTACGATGTGACCCGTTTGTTCCCTGTGCTATCAGTACTCGGCTGGCTTACTAACCTTCGGGTCGCAACCAAACGTATGTGTGTCTCTCCCATTCAATTCATATGACACGATACAACAATATTGACTTTAACTTTCAATCTATCATTCGTTCATAAAGGAGCGAAAGCGAAAAGAATTTTAACAAGAAAAAGAATAAGCAAGTCATGGCCGAACAAAGACTGAAGATTAAACCGGACTGCCCACTAAGTTTCATATAAAACCGAGAGAAGAAAAAAAAAAAACGAGGTAAAAAGACCTTCGCACCAAGAGGAAAGTTTTTCAATATCGCCGACAACAATGGAAGCCGTATCGTCGGACGAATTAAAAAATTCCGTATCGGATTTCCAACAGGAGGCTTGTTTTTTTTTTGTCAATACAGAAAAGAATGAATCATGAAAATAGAAATTAAGATACACTTTTCCGCGTCTGAACTCACGATACGCACACTGATCGCGGTACGGAAATACTCTGTGTGTAACGTCCCATATTCTAGCTCATCTCGGCATTACGAAACATTTTCGAACGAAAGTCGATCGTGGGGCTGTCGAGTGAGAGTCGGGATTCGTAGTACACGGGCATCGCTTAGGAAGGGCGGCCGTCGCGTAAGCTACGTAGCCACGTGCACCTCCACAACTTGCGCTTAGTTCTTCACGAACTGTGTGGGAGGTTAGTCCGTTACATGAATATCATGTTGCTACACTGTCATGCGCTATGATCGGAACGTTTCTTGAGTGGAAACAGTGACGCGTGCGTGTACTGACGCTCCACGTGATTTTGACAGTCGACCCGAGGAGCCGGTGTGTTTTTTTTTCTCGTATTTATCAGCGGTGCGATGCGCCCGGCTTGAAGCGAAGGCGAAAGTGTTCTATTACGATAAGTCCACCTGAATGAATCCACGGTATCCAGCTGGGATGTTGTAATTTCTGGATTCGAAATAAGTTCGGCCAGATTTTCGCCGGCCATGGAGAGTTTCCGGTGAGTTTTCGATTAAGTGCGAGTTTATTTATTTGANCGCTCCACGTGATTTTGACAGTCGACCCGAGGAGCCGGTGTGTTTTTTTTTTCTCGTATTTATCAGCGGTGCGATGCGCCCGGCTTGAAGCGAAGGCGAAAGTGTTCTATTACGATAAGTCCACCTGAATGAATCCACGGTATCCAGCTGGGATGTTGTAATTTCTGGATTCGAAATAAGTTCGGCCAGATTTTCGCCGACCATGGAGAGTTTCCGGTGAGTTTTCGATTAAGTGCGAGTTTATTTATTTGATCTGTTAACGTTTATCTCGTGTAAATATTTATTGTACGTCCGTCTATCTAGAAAAGGCCTCCGTCGATAATGTTTACGTTTTGTTTTGCTCCGATAGCATTGAGCTTTTGCCGGTTAACGAATGGTTTAAAAGTTTTTGTTCGAAGGTTTTTTTTATGTTTATTTATTTTTCAACCCTTTCAACCATATCGGTTACAGGGTTCGGATTACAATTAATCGCAATGTAACATAATACGATTGTGGTGAATGATACTTTTCCTTTGCCTATTTCGGTTTGTACCGCGGTGATTGCTTTTGTTTTCCGAGTCATTGTACTGGCCCTGACATGACAAATTCATTGTTTACGGATATCGACTGGAGTGCGCATGTCCGTTGCCATGTCAACAAAGTATATACGGCTCTAGAAGGCTCATCATCTACTGTAACAGGTATGTTGAATAATGCGTAGTGAACTGAGTCATATAAAGGAAACATAAAAATTTACAAGATCACGAACAAATTTAACATGAATATGCTATTTTGCGAGGATGCCAAATATTGGGTGACTGGCCTTTTGTTCCTTTGATGTATTGTTAGTGTTGTTAACTTTGTTAAAACAACATTGTTTATATAGTGATAAATCACGCAGTTCAATGGATTCCAAAAAAAATATGTTTAGACACGCTATTGTAATAGACTTCTGAAAATTATCATGCAGCTTTATATTTGATTAGCGTTTTTTAGTGGTGAGTTCATAGTTTTATGGCGTTATTGACCGCTGATATGGTTTTTAGAATTATCAGTTACTGTATCATGTGTATATGTGTAGTAAAGCTCCCAAAGATTTTTTATTGCTGGTGGGGCGCACTGTTTGTCCGCAGAGGTAATCAATAAGGTCCTATTTATTTATTTATTTATTTAATAAACAATGTTTCAACAGCATTTAACTAGACACAGGGTACAGAGGATGTTTTCCTAAACATGAGCCAATTAAAGAAACACATTATGTTTCCAAAAATTTTTAACATAATTAATGAACACAGGTAGTTCAACTAAGGTAAGACAGTTAAATAGGTAGATTAACTTTGTCGAATGATAATTTGTCGATGTGTAAGATTTCTGCCGCGAAACGGTTTTGTGCTAAAAGGGGATTGACTTGAGAAAAGGGGGACCATATAATTGCGACTTTGACCTTTTATCATTCACGTAGTGATTGATGCCTATGAACTCCGGTAAGTACTAAACATCAGGTCAACCACGCACCGAACTTTGCAATTAAAATTATTGGAAAACACTACAGCAGAGGTAGTGACTCTTTTTTTTTATTGCTTAGTTAGGTGGACGAGCTCACGGCTCACCTGGTGTGACGTGGTTACCGGAGCCCATAGACATCTACAATGTAAATGCCGCCACCTGCTTCGAGATATGAGTTCTAAGGTCTCAGTAAAGTACAACGGCTGCCCCACCGTTCAAACCCAAACGCATTACTGCTTTACGGCAGAAATAGGCAGGGTGGTAGTACCTACCCGCGCGGACTCACAAGACCTCCTACCACCACTAATTACGCAAATTATAACTGTTTTGTTTTTCAATATTAACCTCTTCAATATACCAAGGTTAACCCTGAACAGATATCGAAGCTTAACAGCTTGCAGCCTAGTCGATGTCAAACTGTCAATCCAATTGACAAACACTGGCAATGTCAGTCGGAGCTTTTAGCCTTTCCCGAAGTCAGCGCGGTGTTCTCCTATAAGCCTTAGTTACCATAAAACCTCTTTCATTTTTGATTATAGATTTTTTAAATATATAACGAGCTTCGAACCTCATACCAACATCTACACGAAACACGTCATTAATCATCTGTTTATGGTCCAGACAAATTAAATAGCTGATATTAAGCTTCGCCGTGTTAAGGTAGTAAATGACATAGGTCTCTTAATTCGTTAAGCATAACTATTCATCAACTGAGGATCGCTTCGGGCGTCTGGTAATTAAGTTTCATTAAGTCACCTTTTTTTGAAAACTTTTGCATTTATATACCTCCCTTTCTTAAGTGGGGCTCTTTTCTTACTTATCTGGAGGTTTAATTGCCATCGCAATACCACACCTTACCCGGGTCTGGGTCTGGGAATTCACGCATGACTGAAACTAAAAAGCTCGTGCCGAACTTCTGTTCGTATTTCTGTTTTAAAAGTAGAGTAGCTATTGCGCTAATGCAGCTGCGACATTCCCTTGATATCCAAAGATGGGCTCATCTGCCCTTTAGAGTTAACCAGTGTGCCCAATAATCGAAATTGGATCAAAATCACTGAAACCTCATGATTTAGATTCATATAAGAGTTAAATTTCTTCTAACGTGGTTGTTTTTCAGACATTATAGAAAGATAAAAAACCGTGTAACAAACAGATGAAAAAACTATACTTAACTGTAATTGGTACTAAACTTACTTTATCTTTGCATACATATATTTCATACATATATAGTATGTTTATGTTTTTTTTTTATATAGGTACATAACGACATCAACCAGGCACAATTTAACGTTTAAGGTAACTATCCTAGCACCTGCGGTAGTTCTCACGTCCGCAATTTATCCCTCTGTCATTATGTGGGACATACGAAGATAATAAAGCGGGAAATAATTCACCTCTTTTGTTACGTTAAACGGTTTTTGCTCTCATATTTCTGATAATCTACGACTCTATTCGCACCATCAAAATCTTTGACAAACTCATGTCGTGGGCTTCGAGGACCAAGCACCTAGACGTCACCTCGACAGAGAGATGAAATTCGGTTCCCACATTAAAACCTTATCGGTAACACTACATAACTTGCATACATTCCGTTATGACTTTTGCCAGTGTAGTAGTCGCTCACGCGACCCGCATGCTCATAATCTATCTTCAGATTATCCAATCCCATTTCTGCAAGATAGCCGTCAAAGCACAGTGGTACGTCAGGAATGTCGACCTTCACGACGATCTAAATTTAAAACCGATACATAAGTATCTTAAAGTAGCGTCAGTACGCTACTTCGACAAAGCGGCGCGACACGATAACCCTCTTATCGTAGCCACCCCTAATCATTTATTCGACTCAAACGACGGTGCAACGCAAAACCACTGTCACCCGATATATGTCTTGTCGGATCCCCCGGTCCACTCACGGTACTTTTAGGCCGCTGAAGCACCGATCATCGCCCTGGTCGAACTCGTCGATTACGGTGAAGATTTGGACGAGCGAGCTGGCCCATAGACACAGCCTACTGAGTTTCTCGCCGGATCTTCTCAGGGGGTCGGGATTCCGATTCGGTGGTAGATGCTGCAAAGCATAGCTCCTGCTAGGGCTTCTGTTAAAAAATTCACTCAAGTTGAGCCCACATACACATAACGGACATCTTTAGCCGATGCAGCTTCTAAACCATTGAGCTAAACAAATAAATCAGTGTTCTAAACGCTTTGCCAGTAGGAAATTGTTCTTGTAAGTTGAAACTCTATGTTTCAATACTACGTACAATTGGACAAACTAAAAATTCCACAACAGATAACAAGAAAACATTTATCTCCATCGTAGGATATGCCTCAAGAAGTCCCATTTCTGAACGGAGATTCTTCCTAAATATATATTTTCAGCGAACCAAGCCGACAATTAAATTCTTTTGACATAACAGTTTAATATTACAACACAATTATCTTAACTTTGTAATCTCGAGAAAGCAATACACGTAATTGAACACTAAAATATTCAGAAACAGCGAAGCCAACTGCTTCCATTAAACTTATGATTAAATTCCGTGCCGAACTGACTAGAACTCTCACGGGAGCTCCGTGTTGTAATACTGCTAATCTTTGCTCTGTTTTTTTTTTACGCAGTAACTTTGTTTCATAAGTAAGTACTACATTAGGAAATGTGAGCTACCCTACAAAGCTATAGTGTCGATAATACTAATGTTTTTATTACGAGGATGCCCGATCTAGGTATCTATCTAAGTGGAAACTAGAAACCAGAGATCATAATATGAATGTCGCGAGATCTTGAGACATAAGGTCGGGATCTTAGTCGTATTGTTTGCCCATGATTGCTTTGGCTGGTAATATTTTTCCTGCTTGGATATTTCTGCCGCGAGTTGTACTATGGCGGCATTTACGTTGTTGACGCCCACTCAACACCAGATAGATCGTGGAGTCGTTAACGGTCTATGAAAAAAAAAAAAAAAATTGCCGTTTGGGCTTATTATCTAATATTTTCTGTTTTCATTATGATTCTCTATAATTCCTACAAAAATTTACATATTTGTAATAATTTGAATTATCACACGCTTCTGTGGGACTATTTAAATATTTGAAATTCATTTGTCATTGGAAACTTTCCCGGAAGCTCCAACGACAACTGTTCAAAGTTTCAACTCAATTGTGTGAACGATGTGCAAACTTAGAGTACGAACACACAAATATTCATTTTATTCAAATAAGAGACATTCCCTTTTTTTTACAGTCCATATTTCTGCTCACTGTGGGGATTTTTCATGGGGAGGAGAAAAAGAGACCTTTATATTTATAGACCTTTATTTATTATGTAGCTCGTCTAATGAATCCAATGAAATGGCATCCTCAGTTTTCATATTTTGAAAAATAATCTAACAGGTTTGTACGATATTAGTGACATTATTTAGTATCTTTGGTACAATAAAAGTATTGTATTGTCGAATATAGTTTTTATCTGTAAAATATG